TCAAAACCCAAGAAAAGCACAGTTACATATGAATGATTACTAGGCACCAGTCACAATGTTTTAAGTTATCACTTTAGTAATTCTGTGCAATTGCCTTCATCCACATAACATAAGGTGGCTCCTTCATCAGAAAGTCAATTTTCATATTGAATATCAGCGTGTGATCCTGAACAAATCTTAAAGTCTCTGGTTTCAAAGTCTCTCTCAAAAAGGGCCATTTTATACCAGTTGATTTTTTCTGTTGATAAACAGGAAATGTTCTTATTTTTTTAATTTATTTTCCCAATTATACTTTTGGTTCTCAGACTACAAAATAAACTGGGAGTTGTACAGAATAGTTCATTACAGGTTCTGAACAAGCTTTGTGTTGCAGAACTTGCAGAAAAAAAGCCAGTGCAGACTCCTAAGCAATAACAGATTTATCCTAATCCATATCTAGGAATTACTGGGAATCACTGCACTTTCCTTCTCAAAGGGTACGTCTTCACTACCCGCCGGATCAGCGGGTAGTAATCGATCTATCGGGGATCGATATATCGCGTCTCGTTAAGATGCGATATATCGATCCCCAAACACGCTCCCCGTCGACTCCAGAACTCCACCGGAGCGAGCGACGGTAGCGCAGTCAATGGGGGAGCCGCGGCCGTCAATCCCGTGCCGTGTGGACCCCCAGGTAATTCGATTTTAGATACTTCGACTTCAGCTACGCTATTCGCGTAAGTTACTGCCCTCTGAATTGCCCTCCTCACCCTTCTGTTTCTCCCACATGCTGTTAACCAAAACAGTCCAAAAACATCAATTTATACCTCTTGCTTCCCGTTATTCTAGAGAATACTAGATTCTGCATTCCTTGTGCTCCCAAAAGTCCTACTGGAGATTTTGGTATATAATCAAGAGGCCAGATCCTCAGCCAGCACAAATCAACACAGCTCCATTGACTGCTATGTCATTTCATGCCAGTCAAGGCTCTGGCTCTTAGAGTATTACACAAGATACATATCAGGGCCAAATTCTTTGACAGAAAAATGCTACAGAATGTTGCTTTCAAACATGTACTAGAGGTGGAAGTCCTTCACCAGCAGAGCCAAACATCTGGTCTGTGGGCTAGGTCTGGCCTCCCTGTGGCCCATCTGACATATTCAAAGTGTGCAGAATCTCAGCTTTCATTTAAAAAAATCAATTTCTACACTTCATGGTTTGAAGAAATGCTTCCAAATGCAAAGTAAAGATAAACCAATACAGTGTTGTCTTCTGAGACTGCAGCCAGCCTCAAACAATGTCTCAGAAAGGTGTGAACTCCTCTGTTCCCTTTTAATGTCATTGAAATGTTACCTAAAATGATCACATTTTAATGTCAACATTAACTACTGGTCTTCTGATCATTTTAGCTGATGGAATGGGAAGCTGCACATGGAAGCCCATGTGGGTGGGAATTGAGAATTTCTGTGCAGGGAAGGAAACACAGAAGGAAGAACAGAGATACAAGGACAAATAAGAGATGCAGAGAAAACAGGATGGGGAAGGAAGAAAATCAAAGGGAAGAAATACCCATGGCTCAAAGGGAGGGAGCATATTTTCCCACTGCTACTGTAAATAAAGCCCTTAATAAATAATTGTAACCACATTACTACATAAAGGCCAGATTCTTTCCTTGATCTTTGTGCAAACCTCCCATGACAGTGGGCATTCTGCTCTGGATGGAGAGGGTTATATGCATAGGTGCCAACTTTTCCAGGCACCGCTAGGTGCTCGCCCCCGGCCCGGCCCCTCCTGCCCCTGCCCCGCCCTCATCCCAACCCATTCCCCAAGGTCCCCACCCCAACTCCGCCCCCTCCCTGTCCCTATTGGACCCCTTCCCCAAATCCCCACCCCGGCCCCACCTCTTCCCTGAGCACGCTGCGTTCCCCGTCCTCCCCCCTCCCTCCCAGCGCTTGCCGCAGCGAATCAACTGTTTCACGACGGGAAGTGCTGGGAGGGAGGGGGGAGAAGCGGAGCCGTGGCACGCTCGGGGAGGAGGCGGAGGGGAGGGGAGCTGGGGCAGGAGGGCAGGGAGCTGCCAGTGGGTGCAGAGCACCCACCAATTTTTCCCCATGGGTGCTCCAGTCCCAGAGCACCCACGGAGTCAGCACCTATGGGTATGGTTACATGGGGTCCTAAATGTAGCCTCTGGCCAACAGGCCATAACTAGAAGTGGAATTCAGCCCTCTCCTCCAAATGAGTTTGACACCTCCGTCCCAGATAACACATGATTATTTAGGGGATTAGGCTGGGTTGTTCTGCAAAAGATGTTGACTATTTTTGAATTCTGCATGCATATTATTAATGTATGTATTTTGTATTACAGTAGTACCCTAGAGGCCACAACCAAGATCAGGACCCCTTTGTATTAGGCACTGTACAACTAAATAGTGAGAGACAGTTCCCAGAATGAAAATAGTGGCAATGAATGTGTATAAACCTGAACACAACATAATCTTGCAAATTAATAAAAAACAGGGACATAAATTAACTGGCCTTTGTATTTCCAGCACTGAAAAGAAAAGAACTTGTTGAAACAATGTAACATACATTTCCGGCCACAAGGAATCTTGTACTTTCTTTTAAAGACAGGCCCAAACCACAAATACCGGTTCTGGGTGTGATGTTTCCTAAAGTTCAGAGTGAGTGTTTGGATCTAGCATTTTGCTTCAACCCCTTTTAGAGATAGGGACCAGGTAAGAAGTTTGGATCCAGAATGAAACTTCTCTCAAAATTCAGTGTTTGAATGTATGGCAATTTGGTTGGGCTCATCTCTAGGCTCATTGAGTAAAACAATAACCCTTAGGCATGTGCTTCTTCTAAAGGCCCCATGGATTTCAGAGGGAATTTTCCTCAGATAAGGACTCAAGAGCTGCCCCCACAAATAAGGTTAACCATAATAGACTGTGAATTGTAATCCTTTCCCTCACCCTTTATATGTCTCATAGACCTTAAGGCCAGAAGTGACCATCATAATCATCTAGTTTGATCTCCTGCACACTGCAGGCCACAGAACCTCACCCACCCACTACTATAATAGACCCATAACCTCTGGCTGAGTTAATGAAGTCCTCAAATCATGATTTAAAGACTTCAAGTTACAGAGAATCCACCATTTACACTAGTTTAAACCTGCAAGTGACCCATATCCCATTCTGCAGAGGAAGGCAAAAAGCCCCAGGGTCTCTGCCAATCTGACCTGGGGAAAACTCCCTCCTGACCTCCCAAACATGGCAACCAGTTAGACCCCAAGCATGTGGGCAAGACCCACCAGCCAGACACCTGGGAAAGAATTTGCTGTAGTAACTCAGAGCCTTCCCCATCTACAGCCTTCCCCATCACTGGTCATTGGAGATATTTGTTGCTAGTAGTCGCAGATCGGCTACATGCCATTGTATGTATTCAGCTATTCGCGTAGCTGAAGTCGAAGTATCTTAGTTCAACTTACCTGGCCGTCCTCACAGCGGCAAGTCGACCGCCACGGCTCCCCCGTCGACTCCGCTTATTCCTCCTGCCGAGGTGGGGTACGGGCATTGATTCGGGGATCGATTTATCGCGTCTCGTCTAGATGTGGCCTAAGTCTCTTATTAAAACAGATACTTCCATTTCTCAGGGACTTGATCCTACAATGTGCTGGGTCCCTTCAACTCCCATCTAAATCAATGGGAGTTGAGAGTGCTCATACCACCTCATGGGAGGCATTGAGCACCTTACAGGATGCAGCCCTTTCCAGGTATTCTAAAAATCATTCATACATGGGGTTGTCCCTATTAACGTGACTAACCCCACATTGCCTTTTAATTGGACTACTCACCTGAGAAGTCAGAGGGGCATAGGCACAGATATCTGCCC